CAGAAACAAGGGGGAGGAAGCCCAGCAGCTGTGACAGGAGTATCCTAGGGTGATGCAGCATATATCAAGAAGGTTCAGATGTCCAGGCTTAGAGTCTGTGTTACCGCATGTGTGATTCGTGGGCGTATTTTTACTGTAGGGCAAGAGTAAGCCAAGGCTACATCACTCCTAATTATATCTGGTGGATCATACAGCCTCTGCAGGTTCTGGAAACTGACAGAGGATTTTAATAGCAAAGTCCAGATGGTCCCTAGAATATCCTAAAGCTTATGTGCCTTGTCTCTTGGTTTGGACAATGGACAGGGCAGTTTTGGTGTGTACAGACTTTTCTCAGAGGGGAGGGTTGAGTTCATTGTCTGTTCTCTGATGCCTCCTGTTATTCAGTCCAGCCTCCTGGTACCTCCTTCACTTGGGAGAAGACTGGGACCTCCGCCCCATCGTGGAACTACTAGTCTCCAGGAACACTGTAAAATGTGTGATATAAGAACAGGGAGACCCCACATTAGCAGATTGTTTAAAGCTGATGACCTGGGAGACAGTGTGGGTCCAACACAGCAAGTGCTGTTCACCAGTCTGACAAGGATACGCTGTCTTACTAGAAGGTCCAAACTGAATCCTCCTACTCCATCCCTATCCCAGAGGGTTAGAAGGAATGATATGTAAAATCTCAGGTGTATGGAAATGAAGACCAGATCTTCATGCGGTGTTATAGATGGCCACCTGGGAGATGCAGACAGGGTTGAGACCTAGGAATCCAAAACTTGGACATTTATCATAGCCTGGGCCAGTGTTTTCTTCAGCATGATTGCTGTTTTAAAAGTGGTTTGTCTTCTGTCATTACTTCAAGAGGTTTTCCCCAGTCATCTCCATCTCAATTGATTTCTTGCTTTCTTTGCATTTTGTTAACATTTCATAGATAGTTTTGAATGCATTATAGATTGGTTTTTATTTTTTTTTTCACGTGTCTGTCTTGGTTCTCATAATAAATTGGTATCGTACAGAGGAAAAAGCGTGATTTGTCAGGCAGATTAATAAATTATGAAGGGACTATTTATCCAGCCTGAAAAAGTAACTACCTGCATTCCGTCTTTACAGAAGTACCATTTCCATGAAAACCATTGAATTTCAGACCTTCTTACTTGGTTGCTCAAGGTACTTTGGCCACACTACTAACCTAGTTTGGGTTTGTGTGTATCCTTGTAAGTTACTTAGGGATGTCAATTGAATTGTTTGCAATAGCTTACCATTCCCATTTCTCCAGGATAAATACATACCTTCTTTTTTGAATAATGAGGTCCAGACAAGACAAAAAATACATCATCAAAACAAAGGGATAATTTGTTTGCACCCTTCCCTTGCCCCACCATCATCTTATTCCAGCACGCTGTCTCAAGATGACACCCTTTAGTGAAGGGTGTGGGAGATCTCTAGCTATTGAGAGAGTTTTTAGAAATGGAGCAAGAAGTAGTAGTTGGGAATTATGGGCTATACCCAGCCTTCACCCTGGTTTTTCCAGCTCACGGGCTCAGAGTGTTCCCCTAGTTGTGAAAACACAACTTACCTGTAAACGTCTTCATGTACAGTTTCTTAATGATCCACAAGGTGAGGATGTGGCTGCGTAAGTTCTCTGTCTTGGCAAGACTGCCACTCTTCTCTTTGTCCCTCCCCCAGTCTTCTCCCTCTTCCACTTTGTGGCTTAACTGTTTTATCACTAGTTCCCCAGTTGGTTTATAAACAGCTTGGGTTCTGGAGTTGGGCAGTCCTAGACTTGTCTCGCTCAGAGCCTTTGTTTCCCCATCTGTGACAAGAGGATTAAAGACCCTGGCTCCCATGGGAAACTGGCCCTCTGGCCCTCACATATGCTGGTGGGAGTGTAGAGTGATGCCACTCAGCAGAGAGCCACTTGGCAGCATGTGCCAAAAGCATGCCCGCAGGCACCCTTCGCCTCAGCAGCTCTGCTTCTGCGGTTTATGCTGAGGATGTGCCAGCACATATGTGTGTGCCTGTTGACTCATCTTAGCATTGTTTGTACTAGCAAAAAAGACTAGAAATAATTCAAATGTCCACTAATAAGGGACTGGTGAAATAAACTAGCACGTCCTTACACCAGAATACCACGCTGGGCAGTAATGAAAAAGAAAGAGGAAGCTCTCTTTGTACAGTAAGTCCTCACTTGATGTCATCAGTAAGTTGTTGGAAAATATGACTACGCCACTTGAAAGGACATATAACAAAACCAATTTTACTATAGTCTAATTGATATAAACAAGTTAAGCCTCTGTGGCGTATTTCTGGTTATGAAAGCATCACCAAACTTCTAAATAAAGACTAAAGCATTTCTAATATTAAATATCAAAATAAATGTGAGCAATACCTACATTTATGAAACATGAATAAAAACAAGTGAGATGAGCCAGGGGTGGTGGCTCATGCCTGTAATCCCAGAACTTTGGGAGGCCAACGAGGGTGGATCACTTGGGGTCAGGAGCTCCAGACCAGCCTGGCCAACATGGTGAAACTCTGTCTCTACTAAAACTAGAAAAATTAGACAGGCATGGTGGTGGGCACCTGTAGTCCCAGCTGCTCAGAAGGCTGAGGCAGGAGAATTGCTTGAACCCAGAAGGCGGAGGTTGCAGTGAGCCAAAATCACACCACTGCACTCCAGCCAGGGAGACAGAGCAAGACTCTGTCTCAAAAAAAAAAAAAAAAAAAAAAAAAATTAGCTGGGCGTGGTGGCGCATGCCTGTAATCCCAGCTGCTTGGGAGGCTGAGGCAGGAGAATTGCTTGAATCTGGGAAGCAGAAGTTGTGTGACTTGAGATCTCACCACTGTATTCCAGCCTGGGTAACAGAGCAAGACTCCATCTCGAAAAAAAAAAAAGACAAGACAAGATGTGGGACCAAGTGATGTTACTCAAGGACAGGCTGTATTGCTAGGGAATGATCCCCTAGATACTTTGTATAGACAAAATTAAGGTTCTGAACAGTACGTCCCATATAGTTTGCTACTTTTACGTATAAAAAATGAAGGAAGGATGAAAATAGATATTTGCATCAGGAGACAAGAGTCATATACCAAACTAGTAAGGCTGGTTCCTTGTTTTTGTGGGAGTATCTAGTAGTATTTTGTTTGATTTATGTTGAAAAATGGGCTGGTTTTTCTCCTGTTTGTCTCCTTTGTCCCTTCCTTGTAAGGTGACCTGTTACACTGATTCTGTCGACGCCTCCCCATGACACTAATGACAGTAGCCAACACTTAGTGTCCATACCATGCCAGGCACTGTCATAGATGCCCTGCCTGCACTGGCTCATTTTAGCAAAGGAATGAGGGACAAGGACAGCGAGAGACTTATATCTGTTGTGCATTTTACATTTGAGCTGTATATTACCTGTCAAAATTAATTGTTTTTCTGATTAGTTCCTGCCCCACCTGGTGGTTGTGGGAATTCAATGAGAGTCCATGTGAAGGGCAGGCTCTCCTTCAGGATCACCTCTGAATCACGCTGAAGCCTGGCATGCCTCCTGTCAGGCAGGGTAGGGATGGGCCCTTTTGGATTCCAGTGTGAGGCAGCCCATCCTGGTGGTATTTCCCACCTACCCAGCTGAGTAGGCTGAGACCATAGCCACAGCCTCTTCCCGCTTTGCAGGCTCTCCACCAGCATCTCCTCTTACCATCTCTTTGCCTCCTGTTTCTGAGGAAACAAGGCCATTTCTGCCCATGTTTAAGCTTTGAGGTTGGCCCAGTACACTCCAGGTGGCTGCTGACATCCTGGGCGTTCATGGTTCCTTTACCTCCCCTTCCACGTCCTCCCAGCACTGGTCTTCCTCCTGTTGGCTTTTTGGCCCCCAGCCCTGTCCTGCCAGGGCTCCCAGCACCAGCTCTTGCTGACACACCTAGGCTGAGGGTGGTGTCCCTCCCTCGTTCCTGAACCTCCTTGTATTGGAACGGTCTGTTTGCAGATTCAGTTCCCAAATCATCCCTCCCTGAGTACTCAGCCTGTGCTCCCTCGCCTGCCTGCCTGCCGCCTGGCTCTCGCTGTTATGTGTGCACATGCTGTGTTACACCTGCGCTACCACTGTTACCCACTGAGCTTTCCACAGCTTCCCTCCGTCACCAGGTCAGCATAACCCAGGCCAGCCTGAGGAGAGTTGCTAATCTTTCTCTCTGGTCACTGGCCATCCTTGGAACAAGAAGCCCCATCTGTTCCACAGCCTGGGTGTGGTTTCTGTGCTTTGACAGGGTCCTAGCCTGGGCAGCATGGTGAAACCACTGCGTCTCTACAAAAAAATACAAAAATTAGCCAGGTGTGGTGGCATGTGCCTGTAGTCCCAGCTGCTCAGGAGGCTGAGGTGGGAGGATCACCTGAGCCCAGGGAGGTCGAGGCTGCAGTGAGCTGAGATCACGCCACTGTACTCCAGCCTGGGTGACAAAGTGAGACCCTGTCTCAAAAAAAAAAAGAAAAAAAAAAAAAGAGTCCTGCCTCCTCTGCCAGACAGAGCCAAGCATCTTTGGGGGCATTCTTCCAGTGCTCAGCCAAGGCCTGGGCATGCCCTGACTTGCTGTTCTCTGATAGAGCAGCCCTGAACTGCTTGCTGAAGGGACCACTGCAACAACAGAACCACTGTGGGCCTGTGTGCAGCGAGGGCCCCGCCAGGCCTCTTACCTGGTGGGGTTGGGCTAAAAGGGTGAAAAGGTGACTTAGGCAGGACCGAAGCCTTCATTGGACCCCGGACCTATGTTAACCCTCCTGGGTGCCTGCTAGTGAGGAAGGCACCACTCACCATGAAAGCAGAGGGAAAATGGTGTACTTCTGCGTCCCCTTTGGAAAGGTCTGGGACCAGGGAAAAGCCGGAGCTCAGGGCTCCTCTGAGGAAGTAGCCACCATTTGTTTCCTTTTTTCTTTGGACAAAAATATGTTTACCTTAATTGTTAAAGAGCAGAGTTTCCTGTACAGAGATGTAGAAGATTTATATTTTTGTCTCCCCTCCCCTGTTTTGTAGGAAGCTGAAGTCTTCAGCAGAACCCTGACCTAAGGAGTCTCAATGGCCCTGGGTGAAGAAAAGGCAGAAGTGGAAGCATCTGAAGGCACAGGCTGTGGGGAGCAGGAGGTGGACACCCCAGGGCCCATGAGCGGGGAGCAGCCTCCACGCCTGGAAGCTGAGGGAGGGCTTATCTCCCCTGTATGGGGAGCAGAGGGGATACCTGCCTCTGCTTGCTGGGTCGGGACTGACCCTGGCGGCCCCTCAAGAGCCCACCAGCCACAGGCCTGTGACGCCAGCAGACAGCTCGTAGCTGAGAGGCCTGAGCCCGCACTTGGTAGCCTGCCTCCTGCCACCGTGGGGTCTGGAGACCTTCTGCTCTCTGGGGAAAGCCAGGTATGTACTAAGGCAAGACTGTACATGTACCCATCTTGCTGTACTTTGGGAGTTAGTTTCAGCATTTCCTCGCCATCTTGCTTTCTTTCCCGGCCATTGTGCAGGGTGAGGAATTGGAGGGGCCTGAGTATGATGATTTCTGTTTTGTGGGTTCGCCTGGAGAGCTGGGCCTCAGGACCAGCCGGGGGCACTGTCCACGGCATCTTATATTCCTCAAGAGTGACTGGTGACTTTTTGAGGACCAGGGATTGTACAGCCAAGAGGCTGCTGTTCAGACGGCTAGGCCAGCAAAATTCTGGGATTGGGAACCCTGTCCTGTTTCTGACTTGGTGATCTAAAGGCTTTAGGGGTACCCTGAGGATACTTGGGAAAGGAGGGTCCAGTGCTTTGGGCTCCTGGGGTCTCTGAACCTAAATCCTCTTCGGACCCAAGGGATGTGTTCGAATCTTGGAGCCCTGTGGTAGGCAGCAGGGTCCCTGGTTAAAGAGAATTCCTTGGGCTTCTCTGACTACTAGGCAGCTTCTCCTAGTGGGAGTCACATGGGGCAGGGAATCCTACCAGGTTCTGTGACCGCAGGCAAATCACCAGCTCTTTCAGGCCCTCATTATCATTGGGAGATGACCTGAGTGATCTGTTCCACCCAGCTCTTACATTTTTTTATGTTCTGCTTGCCAAGGTCTTTTCTGGGAATGGCTTTGATCTTCTCCGTGTCATTGTGGCTTCAGCTGCTGCAGAGTCCCCTTGTGGAGCTGCATCCTGTGAGGAGGCTCTGAGCGGGACTTGGGGAGAGCAGAGGCTGGGCCCCACCTGCCTGGGAGCAAGAGGCAGTGGGAGGCTTTGGCACCTGTGAGTCAGAGATTCGGTGAGACAGGAAGAGAAGTATAAACAGACATAGAAGTGGCCTTTCACGAGGATGAGTCTGGTGCTTATTATTAGAATTCCTGTTATTTGTTAAGCTCTTACCATGCGTTTTTCATACATGAGTATGTTTAATCCTTACCTTCTGAGGAGCTGGTGCTGTGAAGGGAGGAAAGTGAGGCTCAAAGTCTTACATCTGGAAGGTGGCAGAGTTAGAGGTGGGCCTCAGGTCTGTCCGTCACCACTGTGCTGTCCTGCTCCCCTCGGGGTTGAGTTCTTCATCAAGCAGATAAAAAATTCAGTGAAGAAGCTGAAGCGAACGAGTCATTCTGCCTGATGCACGTGAACTGACCAGGATGGGGCCTGGGGGGACCTCCTGGGTTTGGACGTGTCCTGTTAGCAACAGTGATTGAGGGTTTCATCTGCCAGGAGATGCTTCTCAGAGGTAAGGGACTGTATTCCAGCTTCAGCGTGACAGAGCCATCCGAGTTCTGCTGGCTCACACCCTGGGTATCTGTGGAGGAAAACCTTGGAGAGGACTGGAGATGGGGGTCACCTTGCTTCCCAAACAGGCAGGGCCTCGGTGCTTCTGCTGGCAGTGCACACTGTCTGGTTCTTGCCTCAGGCAGCAGACTTTTCATTTTAAGGTCTTTCCTAAATACTGTCTTGACCCATAAGGAAACTCGTGGGCTGCTGTCTCAGAAAGAAATCGGGTTTGGTTATTTTCACCCAAGTGCTTTTTGTCCCTTTGATCATTGCAGGTGGAGAAGACCAAGCTTTCTGCCTCCAAGGAGCTCCCTCAGACTCTGAGCCTTCCCAGAACGACAGCTATTTGCTCAGGACTTGATGCTGATACCGAAGATGATCCATCCTCAGTGGATTCGCCCCAGGCACTGGACCTCAGCCAGCAGCCTCACGGCTCAGGCTTCTCTTGCCTGTCGCAGTGGAAGTCCATGCTGAGCCCAGGTTCCGCTATACCTCAGCCTTCCAGCTGCAGCGTCTCTGCCTCCTCCACAGGAAGCAGTCTCCAGGGTCAACAAGAGAAGGCGGAGCCTCGTGGTTCTTCTCTGGCCAACATCTCCTCTTCCCTGGAACTGGTCGTCCCCCAGGAACCCTCCTCTATGGTGGGGCTAGGACGTCAGCCTCAGTGGTCACCACAGCCTGTGTTCTCTGGGGGTGATGCTCCTGGGCTAGGCAGGAGACGCCTCTCCTTCCAGGCTGAGTACTGGGCCTGTGTGCTGCCAGATTCCTTGCCTCCATCACCCGACCGCCACTCTCCTCTCTGGAACCCAAATAAAGAGTATGAAGATCTGCTTGACTATACTTACCCACTGAGGCCCGGGCCTCAGCTTCCAAAACACCTTGATAGCCGTGTGCTGGCTGACCCTGTCCTGCAGGACTCAGGGGTAGACCTGGATAGCTTCTCTGTCTCTCCAGCAAGCACCCTCAAATCACCTACTAATGTCTCCCCCAACTGTCCACCAGCAGAGGCCACTGCCCTGCCATTTTCTGGGCCCAGAGAGCCAAGCCTTAAGCGGTGGCCCTCTGGAGTACCCCAGAAACAAGGTGGCATGGGCTTGTCATCTTTGAACCAACTTGCATCTACCCCCAGAGCCCCAGGCAGTAGGGATGCTTCTTGGGAGAGCAGAGAGCCAGCCATGAGGGGCACAAAGGACTGGTTGCCTGTGGGCAAGCACCTTGATACAGGCTCTCCCCAACTAAGGACACGGGACAGAGGGTGGCCCTTGCCCAGACCAGAGAGAGAGAAGAGGACCAGCCAGAGTGCCCGGCGCCCTACCTGCACAGAGTCTAGGCGGAAATCAGAAGAGGAAGTGGAAAGTGACGATGAGTATCTTGCCCTGCCCGCTCGGCTGACACAGGTTTCTAGCCTGGTTTCGTATCTAGACTCCATTTCTACCTTGGTTACCCTGCCTATAGGGGATACCAAGGGGCAGAGTCCCCTGGAAGTGTCAGACAGTGATGGGCCAGCTTCCCTCCCTTCAAGCTCCAGCCAAAGCCAGCTTCCCGCTGGAGCTGCCCTCCGAGGGTCTGGGGATCCTGAGGGCCAGAACTCCTGTTTCCTGCATACCTTCATCCATGCCCAGGACTCTGCAAGGGAAGGCAGTCTGGGGAGCAGCCAGGCCCTTGGGGTCTCCTCTGGACTGCTGAAAACACGCCCCTCCTTGCCAGCTAGGTTGGACCGGTGGCCATTCACAGACTCAGAAGCTGAAGGGCAGCGTCCCAGGAAAGGAGAACAGGGAAAAGAATCACTGGTGCAATGTGTAAAGGTAACGATGCTCAACATTAGGAGGCTTTGTGTACAGGTGTCTTGTCTCTTCCCCCAGTCCACTAACTTCATAAAACTTGTTAGAGTTGACCAGGCACTTTTTATGTGCCAGGCATTGTGCTGCACCTTATCTTAGTCCTCACGACTCTTACCAGGTGAGCACTACTCTCATTTTACCGTTTGGAGAAAAGATCAGAGAGAGGTTAGGTAACATGCCCTCTTATAATTAGAAAGGGCTCGAGCCAGGAATCAGACCCAGGTAGACTGTGTGCAGAGACTGAGCTCTTTCCCCCCCGCCCCCCCCCGAGACAGTCTTGCTTGTCACCCAGGCTGGAGTACAATGGCGCCGTCTCGGCTCACTGCAACCTCCACCTCCTGGGTTCAAGCGATTCTCTTGACTCCCGCGTAGCTGGGACTACAGGTGCACACCACCATACCTGGCTGATTTTTAGTATTTTTAGTTGAGACAAGGTTTCACTATGTTGGCCAGGCTAGTCCCAAACTCCTGACCTCGTGATCCACCCGCCTCAGCCTCCCAAAGTGCTGGGATTACAGGCGTGAGCCACTGAACCTGGCCAGAGGCTGAGCTCTTCACACTACCCTTAGCTGCTTCCTACCTCAGGTATTCTGAGCAAAAAGGGTTCTGTGCACAGATGCCTTTAGGAAGCACTGGGCTGAACAAAGAAAGGTAAGTGGCTCTCTTGACTGCAGGACTGCTCAGAGCTTCCTTTGCCAAAGTGGTGTAAGTACAAAGTTAGGGGCATAGATGTACTGTTTCCTAGACATTGTGGCCATTGGACCTTCTTTTGTGGACCAAATATCTTAACTGGAAGTATAATGAACACGGCGTGGAATGGGGGTATCGGGATCAGGCATCTGAAACATGGCACTGCTGTATTTGGAATGTTGGCTCAGTGTCTTCAGTTTGCTTGTTTGTAAAATGTGGAGCCCTGCCTTCTTGGGATGTTGTGTGCATTCAGTAATTCATGTTGAGGGCCTCATGTACTCCCAGACACATGCTGAAGGTTCAGAAATGTGCCTGTCCAGGAACGTGTCCTTGCGCTCGAGAAAGGCTTTCACCTTCCCGGGAGGTGATATGGGTTATTTTGTCTTGTGAAGTAGGTACAACACATTATCATGGGCCCTTCTTTACTGATAAAAGATTGAGATGCCGTGACGTAAAGTTGTTCTTGCTATAGCTTCAGGTTAGTCATGATTTTAGTCATATATTTTACATTCACTTTTCCAGAGAAACATGGATGTATTTGGCTCCAAGATGCTGATTATAGTTAGTAATGGTGCTGATCCAAGAACTGGTTTCCATGGCAGGCGTGCCTCTTCTGGCCTGCACCATTCCCACCTGCAGTGCTGGGTTTTCTCAGCCTATCATTTTTGGTGTCACACCAGGCTGTGGTTTTCATTGCTCTGGCAGAGGGAGGTCTAGAGTTATGGAGTGGGGACAGGTGAGGAAGGAGGAGGGAGGAGAGTAATGTCTCAGTGAGCAAAAGCTCTGGAAAGGTGCACATTCCTCCCAGGAGTCCTCTTTATATTTGTAGCCTTTTGATAACATAAATAGCTGTTCAGTCAGTAACACCGTGTGTTTTTATTTGTCTCTGCAGACATTTTGCTGTCAGCTGGAAGAGCTGATCTGCTGGCTGTATAATGTCGCAGACGTTACCGACCACAGGATTACAGCCAAGTCCAATCTTACAGGTCTCAAGTCTTCTCTGCAGCTTTACCGGGTAATACGCAGTCCTGGCTCACTTGTTCCCTCATGAGAGTGGTAGCTAAATTACTCGATTACAAAGTAAAATCGTAAATAACCAGTGTCTGCTGTTACAGCTCAGTTGACTGTTAAACCTGAAATCTCATTAGAGCTTCATGTTCTTCAAGCAGAACACTTTGTAAAATGCATGAATTATTTCCCAGGCCAAATAGAGCTTGAAGATACGATATATTTATCTCAAATCATTCAAACACTTCAGTTTTGGGCTGGCAGGTGCAGTGGCAGAAGTCTGTTATATCCCAGCTACTCTGGAAGCTGAGGCAGCAAGATTGCTTGAGCCCAGGAGTTTTGAGAACAGCCTGAGCAACATAGCAAGACCCCCCCATCTCCAAAAAAAATTTTTCTTAATTAAAAATAGAAACAAAATACTTTAGGGTGATTTGCGGTATAATTTTCCAAATGTCTCAGGGATTATAAAGACAGACTTGCACTATTAGGAAGCCTCTAGGTATATATGGCTACTGAAGTAAAATTAAAGACTCAGATGTTTTATTTGCTCTGACCGCATCTACATGCCCAACCATCACATTTGTCTAGTGGCTACCACATTAAACAGTGCAGATACAGAACACTTCCATCATCACATAAAGTTCTGTTGGACTGCACCGCTATTTAAAGATCTGGGCTGAAATTGTACTGACTCCAGAATCTACAATAGGGCATTTTGATGGAATTTAAATAGAAATCCCTGCCAGGCACTGTGGCTGACACTGTTAATCCCAGCACTTTGGGATGCTGAGGTGGGAGCATCGCTTGAGCCCGGGAGTTCCAGACCAGCCTGGGCAATATAGTGAGACCTTGTCTCTACAAACAAAAAAAAAAACAAAAAAAAAACCAAAAATTAGCTGAGCGTGGGGGCATGCACCAGCGGGAGGATCATTGGAACCTGGGAGGCGGAGGCTGCAGTGAGCCAGGGTGTACTCCCCTGGGCAGCAGAGTGAGACCGTCTCAAAAAAAAAAACATCAGATTGCATGTGTGTGGGTGTCTATTTGGGTGTGGTTTTAGTTTTCTTGTCTCTTTTTCATTAAGGTTTTGTGGTTTTGAAAATACTTCTGTGGATTTTTGTTAACTGGGTCCTAGATTTAGGATGGCTCTGTGTCCTAGTTTGTGCCTGTTCTGGCATAATAATAAGTCCCCTTTCAGTCTCTGAAGTATCCTGAATTGGAGGATAAATTATATAGTTGTCATCCCTAAGTCTGATGTTAACCTTGTCTGAACTCCTCTCTTCTAGCCTATCTGGTTGGCTGTACCTTTCTAATCTCTTCATGAAGCAGCAGAGGGATATTCATGGTCTGAGCCTGAGGCTAGTCTGGAAGGAGTTTTCTAGAACAATTATTTGAATTTCTACAACCCTGTAACCTGACCGTATCTTCTGCAGCGGCAGACGTGATTTACATATGCATGGGCCAGGGCTGAGCTGACTCAGGTCTTGCTGGACCCTACTCCAGCTAGAGGGAGGGAGGGCTTTGTTTTCCAGCTTTGGGCCAACTAAAGTTTAGGGGAGGAGCCTTGCTTGACCTGGGCAGGCTGGGCCGGCTGCTCCACCCTCGTGGGAATGCTGTTTCCTGCAGGGTGGAGAGAGGTTGCTGTGAGTTCCTCACTCTGAGGAACTCCATGCTGAGTTCCTCTCCACCCTGCAGGAAATAGCATTCCCACTCGGGTGGAGTGAGTTTGAGGAAGGAGAGAAAGGCTAATTCCGAGGGTCCTATATGCAGACTCCACGTGCATGTACACAGCTGTGCTGGGCCCAGGACCAGTACCACTACAGGGAGAGGAAGCTGCCCTGGTAGACATAGCAAACTGGCTTTTCCTGGCCCGTCGGAGCAGGTACAGAATAACTCCATTCCCTCCATCTTTTCCCTCCTGCTGTCCTTCTGTATCTCAGCTTCCAGGCTAGACAGAAACAACCATCTTGCTTTGTAAGTAGAGCTGAGATTTGAGCTGGGAGTCACTCCTGCAGGTCAGTGAGGCATAGGCCTTTTGTGTCACCCATACAACTGTCACAAAGGGAATTGTGCACGGCTCATACGTATGTATGTGCTACCTTAACTTCTGTTTGGATTAAGACCTAGTGCAAGTGTGTGTGTGTTTGTGTTCACATTTTTTTTTGAGACAGTCTTGCTCTGTCGCCAGGCTGGAGTGTGTGGCATGATCTCGGCTCACTGCAACCTCCGCCTCCCAGGTTCAAGCGATTCTCCTGCCTCAGCCTCCTAAGTAGCTGGGATTACAGGCGCATGCCACCACACCCAGCTGATTTTTGTATTTTTAGTAGAGATGGCGTTTTACCATATTCGCCAGGATGGTCTCTGTCTCTTGACCTCGTGATCTGCCCACCTCAGCCTCCCAAAGTGCTGGGAGGTAGGAGCCACCAGGCCTGGCCACATATTCACATATCTTAACTGTGAATCATTTTCTCATATAGTTGTGTTTTGTCTTAACACAGTGAGGTTGCAGCAGCACATAAACCACACTACAGTACCAGAGAAGAAAATAATAAGTATAGGTATCAGGGTAAAGGAAAACCAAAGACATGAAAATAGTCAATCCAAGAGTAAAACTGTCACTTCAAAATGGTAAAACACCAAATTCTGGTGGGACATGGTGGCTTATACCTCTAATTCCAGTACTTTGGGAGGCTGAGGCAGGTGCATCATCACTGAGTTCAGGGGTTTGAGATCAGCCTGGGCAAAATAGTGAGACCCTTCTCTATTTCTATTAAACTTTTTAAAAATTATAAAAATCAGTCACCAAGTTCTGGGCCCTGCACTAAAAGGTGGTCACGGATTTGACTTTACACTTCTTAACTGCTAAAGGAACATCAAGAACACCAGCTTGGTAGCCACAAGGAGAAAACAGATGAGTTCCTTGGGAAACTCACAGCTTCCCAGATGTTGAGGTAGTTACCCTGACAGCCTGCATAGAGCGAGGATGAAGGAGGAGCAGAGGTGGAGGCAGTGGCTCTCTACAGTCAGTTTAATGGAAGATCTCGTGGTTCCGACTTACCAGGTCCATTAGAATAGAATAAATTTTGAGACTCCCATATCCCTGTGAGTTAGAGAAGCCCATGAGGTGAGGGTACTGGAAGGAGACCCTAACTCCAAGCTGTTTGTGAGCCAGCCTCTGCCAGAGAAGACGCTTCTGATATCAAACTAAACAGGGAAAAACTATTGACTCCATTTAGCTTGGGCTCAAAGAAGCTGAAGTGAAACTATTGCACTGTTTACTTGGGGAATTCTGCAGACCTGTGGGGGTGAATCTTAATACATTAGAGGGAATCAGGCTACTTTGCATGCTGTTCTTTTTGAATAACTTTCATAAAACAATAGTAACGAAGCTTCTTCCTTTTCTTTTTCTGATATGCCTTAAGCAATTTAAGAAAGATATAGATGAACATCAGTCTCTGACGGAGAGTGTCTTACAGAAGGGGGAGATTCTTCTTCAGTGCCTGTTGGAGAATACCCCAGGTGAGATGCTTAAGGTTTGGCTTTAGCCAGAGCTTAATCCCTGTCAGCAGCAGGCCCAGGGACCACAGTCCCTGGTAAGGAGCTGGTACTGCAAGAGCCCCTGCCCACACCCACTGCTTGAGATGCCCCATGCCCCACCGTCTGCCAGCTCCACACATCGCTGCCCATCACTACCCCTACACACCTGCTTAGAGGCAGTCATGGTCATAAAACCAAGCTCATTAGCAGTTAGGCATTGAGCCTGCAAGAATGACACTGTCTTTTGCTTCTGCTTTTCCATTTTTCTGGAGGTGGTCTGGGTAGGAATCCTGGTTTTATTCCACCAGCCCTTAGTTTGAGGCTAGGGTATTCAGCGGGTATCCCTCGGGTTCCCCACCTTACCTACCCCAAGTGGAATTCCTCTCTGGTTATCTGCCTTGTGACTTGCTTTGGGGAAAGATTTGTTTCAGAAAATGATTGTATTGCTTAAAAGTATTCGAGGACAGTCAGTCTGTCCTCAGGGAACAGACTGAATAAAGAACTGAGAAGAGGGGACAGTGTGGCAGTAGTATACAAACCAAGCTCAGGCCCCCCCCCACCCCTTTTTTTTGAGATGGAGTTTCGCTCTTGTTACCCAGGCTGGAGTACAATGGCATGATCTTGGCTCACCACAACCTCTGCTTCCCGGGTTCAAGCCATTCTCCTGCCTCAGCCTCCCGAGTAGCTGGGATTACATGCATGCACCACCACACCTAATTTCGTACTTTCAGTAGAGATGGGGTTTCTCCATGTTAATCAGGCTTGTCTCGAACTCCAGACCTCAGGTCATCAGCCCACCTTGGCCTCTCAAAGTGCTGGGATTACAGGCGTGAGCCACCATACCGGCCACTTGAGCCCATTTTGTAGGATGGTTTCCCCATTTAGGAAAGCAAAAATCATAGACCTCAGGCATGTATCTAAGCATGCTGTGTGCCAAGGATTGACAGTTCTCATTGTCTTTATAGGACGAGGCCATGGGGGATGAGGATATACTATGGAGGATGAGCTAAGAGAATGGTAGGGTAAAGCCTTGCACTGATGGCAGCCCCAAATTTCCTGTAAGTCTGTCAGTCAAGTGCTGACAGAGCCTGCCTATATTATGCCTCATTTTATGTTTTCAAGTGAGACGGGATTTATACTGGAATCCAACCACAAAAGCAAAGCTGGGCAGGTCCCACGGGCTTGAGGGGCAGTGAGGAAGCGCTTTCCTGACCAGTGTGGTGGGCAGGTGCATACCGAGGACAGGGTGTAGAGCAGGATTTCTTAGCCTTGGTGCTTTTGCCATATTGGCCACGTGATTTTGTCCTATGCGTCACAGGATGTTTAGCAGCACACCTGGCCCCACTAGATGCCTGTAAATCCCTGCTTCCCCCACAGCTGTGACAACCCAGAATGTTTCCACACATTGCTAAGTGTACCCTGGGAAGAAAAATCTAGGGTTGAGAGGCATCAGTGGACAGGGGCCACTGAGGAGTTTTCAGCAGGTAAGTGATTCTCTAGTGTGAATTACGTGAGCCCTTTGCAATCCCTACCCTCTTAAGGCCTCTGTTTTGACTCTTCTGGCATTTTCACTAAGATTTTTAGATTTTTTTATTGGGGCAGAAATTCCATGTGCCAGGATTGCTACATGTCATCTACACCAGCATTTTACTGAAGCAGTTGGCATATCAGTGTTTCCATTTACTCACAGCTTGTGAGACAGAGTTGTGGATTTGCCTCAGGCCACAGGAGAAGTGGCAGCCTGGCAGAGCCCCTGGGCACTGGCTTTCCACAGCTTCCCAGTGTCTGGAGGTGCAGAGGCCTGAGCAGGAAGGGAAAGGGCTGAAATGCCAGGAACCTCCTTTCTTCATGGAGACCACATGTAAACGTAGGCTTCTTAAAAGCTTCAGGTTTTACCTTCATTTTAAAATCAATTTAGTAATACTTTTCTGTGCTTAATCTGTAATAAGAACATCCTACGCTGCCCTTCTCTCAAAGGGATCTAAAGTTATTTTACTGGCTTTGGGTTTTTAGGTACATATCCAGGCTCTTTCAGATTGACACACTACCCTTCCCCGTCTACTTGAAATAATCAGGAATGTGGTTATTTTCCCCCTTGAGACTTCAGTGTCGCTCTCCAGTGGTTGCAAAACTTACCTTTCTTCCGCCAGGAGCATACTGTCAAAGTCCATAGAGCCAGCATACAAACGTGTATTCCATTCCTTCCCAACTTCTTTTACTTGGCCCCAACCAAACATTCTAACAGTCTAAAAAAAATTTCAAAAACAGCCAGGCACGGTGGCTCACGCCTGTAATCCCAGCCCTTTGGGAGGCTGATGCAGGCGGACCTGATGGTTGGTAGTTTTAGACCAGCCTGGCCAACATGGCAAAACCCCATCTCTACAAAAAGTACAAAAATTAACTGGGCGTGGTAGTAGACGCCTGTAATTCCAGCTACGCAGGACTGAGGGAGGAGAATTGCTTGAACATGGGAGGTGGAGTTTGCAGTGAGCTGAGATCGCACCACTGCACTGTAGCCTCAGTGACAGAGTAAGACTCTGTCTCAAAAAAAAAATAACTGGAGGGGTAGAACCCAGCCCAGCCACCCTTACACCAAGTTTTACCACACACTCTGGCTGTATTCCTCTGCCACGCCTCGCCAGCTCTCTGTGGACAGCACTTTGCCCTGATGACACCACACTGATGTGGCTTCCCTAGATCTTAGTACAGCCAGCCTGTGTTCTTTCCGACCATCCAGTCAGCATTGCCTGCAGATAGGCAGCTTCCCCTTTCCCTTCCTCTGCTGACAGATGTTGCAGTTGTGGCAGGAAGCTAGGGAGTATTAGCACAGCTGATAAAGGCACAGGAAACTAAGACAGCCTTTGTGCTTAACAAAAATAAATTTTTGAAAAGAGAAAAAAGCCTGCTGTGTGTGATGCACTCTGACCCTAGCCCATCCCTTCCTCACGTGAACACTTCTGACACTGGAGTGAATCTTCCCTTAGCCGACTCTCATGTCATTTTGTTATTTTTTGTATTTTAAGATGGAGTTTCACTCTTGTTGCCCAGGCTGGAGTGCAATGTCGTGATCTCAGCTCACTGCAACCTCTGCCTCCCGGGTTCAAGTTATTCTGCCTCAGCCTTCCAAGTAGCTGGGATTACAGGCATGCACCACCATGCCCAGCTAATTTTGTATTTTTAGTAGAGACAGGGTTTCTCCATGTTGGTCTCGAACTCCCGAACTCAGGTGATCTGCCTGCCTCGGCATCCCGAAGTATTGGAATTTCAGGAGTGAGCTAGTGTGCACAGCCAGGTCATTTTCTTTTTCAGTCTGTTCACTAAAGCTCTGTAAAAAAAGGGTCCTAAGCACTCCCAACTATTACCAGACCACCCACGTGAAACGACATTCCTCCCAGCCAATAGAAATGGATAGGACCTGGTAGCAGGGTAAGCATCTGAACTTTGGCGTGTCATTTTATTTCATTTAAGCCTTATGCCCAAGATAGGACCTGTCTTACCTCTAAAGTCAGATAATACCAGCCATTCAGAGAACCATATCTTTGCCTCTCTGTGAATTACGTAATTCCAAAGTGGAGTCGGTGAATTATTTTCTCAGCTTTAACAGGAGTTAACAACAGATTCTCCAGTGCAACGGAAGTCCCTGGAAAATCACTGTTAAGGGTAGACATTCAGAAACTACTGCCAGGTCCTACTTTGTACAAAATACTATACCCTTGTATGTTCTGTCAAAAATGCTTACTGGACAACACTTGCATGGGTTTTGTTTTTGGTTTAATTTCTTTGACCCTCATCGTTAGTTTTAGAGGATGTCCTTGGGAGGATCGCAAAGCAGTCTGGTGAGCTGGAGAGCCACGCAGATCGCCTGTATGACTCTATCTTGGCCTCTCTGGACATGCTGGCTGGCTGCACCCTCATCCCTGACAAAAAGCCCATGGCAGCAATGGAGCACCCATGTGAAGGGGTTTAACCTGGTAAGTGAGGAACTCAAGAAGAAAATGCCCACCAACCCTGCTGTAACAGCTGGCCACTACTTAGAAGCTTGTTGAGCCAAGAACTATTATTGAAACAAATGAGATACAGGAATAAGACAGCCTGTGGTACTAAAAAAGGAGTTGCTGGTCTTCCTGTGGTGATGAAGGCTCCCTGTGGTGCTTTCCATTACTGTTCACCCTGCTGCCTGTGGAGGATGAGGGTGCCTCTGTGCTGCCATTTCTATGGCACACTCTTCACCACCACCCCTGCTGCCCCAAGGCAAGAGCAGCACAACTTATCTATATACCTACTTTATTTCTGCACAGGTACACTTTTCCAATATGGGGCCATGACCTGGCAGCCCCTGTTCTGCAGGATCTTCTCCCCAGCTCATTTGGTACTCCATCTCCAAGCATCTCTGACAGCACCAAGTGCACAGAGAAACCCAGAGTTACTGCTAGCTTTGTACCACCACCCCTGCCCCACACAAAGCATCTCCACCTATCTCCCATACCACTTCCTTCCAGAAAGGCTAGGGGGATGGAGAGGGGTTAACACACCTTGGAGACTTAACAGGTAGTACAGCTTTCTTTTGCTCCCTTAAGAAAGTCAAACAGAATGACAGAAAAGAAAGGGCTAAGACAGCAAGGGTGGGTTGTGTCCACTGCAGAGTTGACACTGCCAGTGTTTTTTGTCCACAATTGGACTGTACTTTCCCTGAAACATCCTGTCCTACAACAAAAGGTTTGTAGTGCTTAACTCGTAGATTTTCTAGGTGAGCACTGTAAGTATGTGAAGAGCAGGGAGTCCCTGTATTTTATCAGAGCAACTCTTGAGTAGTCATCTTGGTTCTAAAATGAAGTTGCTGTTTCTTTCTCTACAACATTATGCCTGTTACAGATGCTGCTTTTTCCCTTTCAGGCATCCTCTCAGGCAAATGCAACCTGTCAGCCAAACACAGGCTGGTGAGAAAAAAAAACCTTCAAGTCCTTGCAAGAGTCATTCAACACTGAAGTCAAGGGGGAAAACTTCAATATACTAGCTTTAAAATGCCTTTCTCCTCCCTGAATGGAGGGCTGTTGATTTACTATTTTTATTTACAATGAATCCTTCCAAACTAAGGTTTTCCTTTTGGTGCTTCTCCACAAAGAGCGTGTAGCTTTGCAATTTTTGATAAAATAAGACGTCTTGCCTTCCCCTCTATCCCATTAAAAAACAGCAGACAAAGCTCAAACTGTTCCACCTGGTAAGGTCATTTACCAAGGGCTGGTGGAAGGTTCTGAATACTCCATATTCTCAGGCATGTAAGAGGACCCAAGAGACTGAAAAAAGCCAATGGCTGGCCAGAAACCTTGGGTCTTTTCATAAAAGGAAATTTGGGCTTGTCAATCCGTCTTTGAAGATTCAGGTAGAAAGAAGAGACTTTAACCCTTTGTCTGCAAAAGAAAAAGTATTAAATGACTAACAGATTACTTTGGGAGATTATGACACCTTTTGCCATCTTCAGGGCTGATGTCTTTGGTTTCCTGGCTAACCAGTTTCTGATAAGAAAAGTGTCAGGGACTTGGGGATCTGCAGCCATGCTTTAGCATGGCTGTGGAGCTAATTATCAAGCTTAAGGGCACCTTTGGGAGGACTCATCCCTTCACACCTAGTCTCCCTTGGAAGAGCAGTCCAGGCTCAGAGAAGGGAATGGATAGGATGACACAGTACAGTACAGAAACTAAAGCTGTCAATAGTGAAGAAAATGGGAATTCTTTGTTGTTTTGGCACTGACACATAAGTACTTTGATAGAAAAAACTCGATCAACCATTCGAAGCATCAATTCTATAGCTTTTTGAAGAAAAATGATCAGTTATTGCTGGTAAAACTGCAGAGTCTACAGAAAAGCACTTTTAAAGTTCTGTTTGGGCCATGAATGAACCTAGAAGGAGGAAAGCACAATATAACAATGGAAACTAAAGTCCTATTATTAATGTGACTTTTTTTTGCTTCAGAATTTCTCAGACTTTATAGTCACTGGAAAATAGCCATTAAATTCTTTAAAGATTAGCTCTTCCAACAGTAGCTGCACATAAAATGCAGTATTTCAAGTGCCTGATGCTGCTGCAGTATGCTTTATCATAAATAATGCTTAAGGGCATGATCAAAATTAAAATGTCTTATGACTGCCATATTAATCTTAGTTCCATACACAGTGAGACTTTAAAAGAGAAAAACCACTCTAACAAATAATTGTCCATTATAAACCTGTATGTAAAACATTCTTAAAAACCTAGAATTGGTTAAAAAGGCAGAGATGTCCGACAGCCTCTTAAATTGATCAGTTTCACCTTCTCTTTGATGTATATTTATAAATAGGAACATGCCCTTCCACTAAGTATGTTACTGAATAGCCCTTAAGAAATTAAACCCATTTATTTACTGATATTTGACAGGCATAGAAGTGTATTAGTTAGCATAAAAGTTGGAGATGAAAACCCTACAGAAAGAAACTGGCCAATACTAAACTAACTGAATGCAGAATGTGGCACTGTATTCCCATTCAACCAATAATCAGCTTCAACTGACAGGCATTTTCACAGAATGTTACACAATACCGTTTCCCAAGAAAGTGTTACTTACCTAGAGATGCTCTAAGGTATTTTTGTTCATCCTCTGAATCAGGTGTGACTAAAGGGTGCTAGTTCTGGACCTGGCTGCGAATGCTGCTGAAGAGTATCAACACAACTGTTAATTATACAGCCGTGCTTGAAGACTTCCCTTAAAACTCAGGCTGAAATTGTTTCCACCTAGTAAGAAACATGGCCAGGTTAGAGTCAAGTAGCTGAGCTTGCTAAATGCACTGTGGTGCCACACTGGAATAACTTAGTAGTCCCTGAAAATTAATGGAAATTGAATCCATAGGTAAGTGATGATATTCAAAGCTCGATCGGCAGTTTCAAGATCTGGGTTCTTGGAGATCCATGGGTAGCTCAGCAAATGGAAGGTGATGTCAATACAGGGCTATTTTGAAGCTTAGGTGGGAACGGAGCACAAGGTTTGATGTACAATATGCTGGAAAGGCAAGATACAGGCTAAGGGAAATTCAATCCAAGGTCAAAGAATAGGAAATTACTGCTCGGACCATAATGACTATCATTCTGAAAGGATTTCCCAGAGTTTGCAGCTGCTTAGATTTAGAACACTCTTCACTATGTAAACTAATTTATGGCAGCACCTTATATTTAGAAGAAGTGATAATACCCTTTACTAAGTGAACAGATTATTAAAGCCCATAGTAGCCTTGAATTGTTTGTTTGTACTTGAAAATGGGAGTATGAAAGGGGAATATATTTTTTCCAAAACTGTGTTTATTGGCAAATTGTGAGGCATGCTGAACTATGTTGTTGTAAATCCCAATCTTTACTGCCATGGGGGAAAGGATGCTGGAATTTTCCAAATGAAGTCTGTAAGTAATACCCATCTTAAGTTCATGTAATGTTTCTGCTAACTCACCAATAAGAAGCTGACGATTTAAACAAATTTTACTGTATAAAACTGAAGTGCATGGTATGGCATCAGAATATCTTGACATTTGTTTTGTGTCATTTAGCTACTTTAGAAAATAGTTTTCTGAACTCTTTCCCCCTTTATACTGTATTAAGGCAAAAACAAAACTTTTGAAGCATTAAAGATCTTCACCAAAATAACTATTGGTAACTTCAGGAATTTGTCAGTTGCCTTATGTGAGGATGAATAGATCCACCAAGCACGCCTATAATACAAAGTAAACTATGATTTTTATTGTGAAATTTTCATAGATGGAAAATTGAATATTCTGTCCATTTCATTTTACAGTTATCTTACCACTTATTTTTGTACCATGTATTTCAATTGCCTGTTTAGTGAAAAATAAAAATTAAAAAACCTATTAATTTTTGGCTTGTTTTTAGCTTAAATTTTATCATGAAATTAAGGAGCCCACAACAAAATGTGTTGCCAGCAGCCATATCCCAAGCTGCTGTGTGAAGAATGTTTTGGATGCTACTTCAACCTAACAAACAACCTTTGACCTCAGTCACCTTAAAATGCTAGTGTGGGCAGATTTTTCATTCCTCACCATTAAAAAACAAACAAAACCCCTAGGATCTTGAAGGTCCTATTTAAGAAAATCTTCATACATGCAAAATGTCACGAAAATATACTTCCCTCAATTATCATTACCATCCAGGATTCATGTTTTAATTTTTAGGAATATAATTTCTAAAATTAGAGCAATAAACTTCCTGTGTCCTATCTTAATGCTTAAACCCTCCTCCAACATCAAGTTAAGCAACTGTGGAGGATAAAATAGTGGAATCTGACTGAAAACATGGAGGAAAAACATTAGCACACGTTAGTCTGATCATTTGCCAATTAGGAAAGGTATGCTGCTTTCCACCTTTACCACAGATGCATTCATGAAATATTGATTAATGAAGCCACTTCAAATTGTTTTAGAGAAGGATCAGAGATAATGGGCTAGATAGCATACATTCTAAACTTGTTTTCCATACAGTTTGAGCTCCCTGAACCACTAAAGTTGGTTAAATCCCTACACAGCACAGAAGTCTAAGTCATTTTATTGGGCGTATTATCTAGAAAGCAAATACTGGATGCTGCTCTACAATAGGTCTTGAATGCCTTAGTTGCGCTGTGCACACACAAATGGCTGTGTTGAATATAATGCAAGGCTCTGTTTCCCTTTAACCATAAGAATTAAAACAATATTTATCACCATACAGTTTGATATTACTTCCAATAAGTACAATATTTATTAAACGTATCTTCAGTTGTTTTGTTACATAGTGTGCAACAAATTACAATATTCTGCAGCCACAAATTATATGCAGAGTATGAAGAAACTATTAATCAGATAGTGTAATCTTTCCATTTATAACTCTACAAGGAAGAACTAGCAAATCAGATCTTACATATAACATCTCACTAAACTTTATGCATGGAAAGTGACAGACACTGCTTGTGCTGTTTGATACAAAATGGCTGAACTTCATCTTCAGAAGACTAAACCTGACATCTAAACATGCCAATATAAACATCAAAACAAAATATATTCTAACCAACCACGGGAAACAGTCTGGTATCAGGAAAGCAACAAGGATTACACACATTATTTTATAAACCAGCACACAAAGGTTTAAAACAGTTCTGAAAATGAAGTTAGCTGTCTTGAGTCAAGGGAATAAAAAAAAGTCAGTATTGACCATTTACAATCTCTGACCTTTGTGGAGACGGTAAGAATCTGTTGTAGTGCAGCTACATACAGTACAATTCAGGCAATTTTGTTTTTTCACTTGGGTTCAGATTGCAAATTCATTGCTGTGAGAAAAGTACGGAGGCAAATTTTAGCAGCAACCTCCGCCTGACTGCTTGACTGGAGTGCTCTGAATTTTAACATTGGACTTCTCAGCACCACCAGCTGTTGCTCCAGGACCCATTCGCTTTTTAATCTCAGCTGCCATCGTCATGAAAGACTGTTCTACATTCGTTGCATTCTTAGCACTGGTTTCCAAAAATGGAATTCCAAGGGAATCAGCAAATTCCTAAGAGAATAATGAGGCAAAATTAACACTGAAAAATCTTTTCCAGTAATTCTTAGTGCATTTCTATCATCCACAATGGAGCGTGAGGAACTAAGTTCACTGGATCTAAACAGATGCTACACAAATTGTCACAGTCAGAATAGTCTAGTGCACATATTTTTTAAAGTTAAGGTGGCTGTGGCCTCAGAATGACTGCATAACCCATACATAATTCAACACCTTCAAATTCAGTATGAAAATTAAACTTGAAACATACCTTTGCTGTTGTGTAGTCTACTACTTTCTTTGTGGTCAGATCACATTTGTTCCCTACCAACAATTTGTTGACATTTTCACTGGCATAACGATCTATTTCCTGCAGCCACTGTTTAACATTATTGAAGGACTCCTAAAAAGACATTTCAAAGTTTGATAATACAGTTCTGGAATAAACAGAAACATCCTTCCTGACCTAACAGACAAATAACAAAAGAGCTAGTGAGACAACGCTAGCTACAAAATAACCACTCCTAAGGAGTGAAGGGATTTTTTTCTTTTTTGAGACAGTCTCGCTGTCACCTATGCCTGAGTGCAGTGGCACAACCACAGCTCACTGCACCCTTCACCTCCCAAGCTCAAGCCATCCTCCCACTTCAGCCCTCTGGACAGCTGAGACTACAGGTACATGCCACCATACCTGACTAATTTTTTATTTTTTTGTATAGACAAGGTTTCACTATGTGGCCCAGACTGGTCTCAAACTCCTGAGCTCCAACAGTCGGCCCACCTTGGCCTCACAAAGTGCTATGTATACAGGTGTTAGCCACTGTGACTGGCCATAAACAGATATATTAAAATGACTATAAATATCTAAATGATAACAAGCTAGAATTTACAGGCTAACGACGAAAATATCTTATTTGAAAGGGAAATACAGCTTAAAATTAAACTGCAGCTCAGGCAAACCCAACTGTTTCGGAATATGCAATTTAAATGTACTAAAAAACGTGGTTTTGAAATTCGAAAAAAAAATTTTTTTTGAGACAGAGTCTTGTTGTCATCCAGGCTGGAGTACAGTGGCATGATCTCGGCTCACTGCAATCTCTGCCTCCTGGGTTCAAGTGATTCTCCTGTCTTAGCCTCCTGAGTAGCTGGGATTACAGGCGCACACCACTACGCCCAGCTAATTTTTGTATTTTTAGTAGAGATGGGGTTTCGCCATGTTGGCCAGGCCGGTCTCTTAACTCCTGACGTCAGGTGATCCACCCACCTCGGCCTCCCAAAGTGCTGGAATTACAGGTGTGAGCTACCGCACCCAGCCTGAAATTTGATAAAATTTTGGTTTATGAATAAGATGACCTACTGTTACTAGAGATGTCAAAAGATATTATTAAATAAAGATACTCATTTTCTTTTCCACAGTCATATTTAGAGGAGGAATGTTTTCATTTAAAAATCTTTCATGGTAATATGACTAAATATTTTTGAAACCAGCATCATTTTTTTCTCCTGCAGATATCATCCACCCAGCACTTCTAATGGCACTGAATCTAAATGTCTACATGTAAGTTATCTCTAATTAACTATGATTTCATATTTGAGATAAGATTTAACATATGCCAAAAGAAAAAGAAATTCCAATTTTGAACATTTATCTTTGTCCTTTTATTGATAGAAAGGACAAGTTTCTAAGTTTCTGATTTAAAACAACAACAACAAAAAAAACTAGTTATGGTCCCTGGACCACATGCTTTACACTGTTCCACATTGTTCCCTCCACTGCCCTGCCTTCTCTCACAGCTAATCTTCAGATACTCTTTCTCATACTAAGACCCTCCTACAGCCTCTCCTATTCAAATCTTTATTTCTGAACCACATCCTCAATAGGCAGAAACCTCCTAATCCCACTTTTGGCCATTTGGATGGACAAATTCTAATTACCCGTCCATATTCCTGTTGATACTTAACATCAAGAACACAGTATAAACCCAGCACCTCACGATATCCCTACAAACTCTTGCGTATATGTTAGTGTCTTGGCTATTTGATCAAAGTTATTTAGTTGATAATAAATACAATGGGAATCCCTTGAAAGCAAATATAAAACTAATTACTAATGTTCTATTTATTACAGGAAAACAAATGTCTTTTAAGTGATTCACATTTATATTTGAGAGTGGACAAAAATTTCTACCATAAAATTAATACTGATGGCTTATTTGTGAAACAAATATTCTGACATTAATAGAATAATGACTTCCTACTTTGTCACTGTAATACAATCTCCTCTTGGAACTTACCTGATCTGTCACATCATACACAACTATGATGCCATGGGCTCCTCTGTAATAACTGGAGGTGATTGTTCGAAATCTTTCCTGGCCTGCTGTGTCCCACTATTACAAAACAATCAAGAAATCCAAACAAATCCATTAAAATAAAGTTGCGGAAAAGTGTAGGAGGGCAAGAAAATAGTTTAGTTTTCATAACTGTGGAGATTATCAGGATGTGACATAGAAACATTAGTCCTCAACTCATACCACTAAATTGCATGGTAATAAGTACCTGAAAGTCCAGAAAAGAAGGCAGTACCTACAATTGAGCTTGCGATGATACTCAAATTACAAGCTGTTGACAGCAGGAACTATGTCATACTTTTCACATTCCCTACTGCCTTTAACACTGTGTTTAGGTATGCCACTGGCCTAAAGCCCTTGAACACAGAACTCTCCCATATAAGACAAACTTACTTGCCAGCACATTCTACCATGATTAAAAGCACTGCAGGGACCTAATTCAGATAGTTACTAGCCAAGACAGAACTTTAGTCATCTCAAGCAGCTGTCTTATTTTCCCCCTCTAAAGCAGGGTCTTATTCTGTCATCCAGGCTGAGTGCAGTGGCATCATCAGAGCTCACTGCAGCCTCAATCTCCCTAGCTCAAGCAATCCTTTCACCTCAGCCTCATGGTAGCTAAGACTACTGGCACATGCCACCACCACACCTGGCTAAGTTTTTTTTTTTTTTTTTTCCCCCATAGAGATAGGGTCTTGCTATACTGCCCAGGCTGTTCTGAAATTCCTGGACTCAAGCAATCCTCCTGACTCAAGTCTCCCAAAGTTCTGGCATTACGGGTATAAGCTACAATTCCTGGCCAGGTGTTGTCTTCATCCTAGAGAAAACAATGTAAGGAAGATGATTCCAAATACTTCTATAAAATGTATTTTAAGAGCAATTTACTGCACTTCAACCACTTAGACTCAAACTCCAAAACAAATGCTAACTTCATTGCATTATAGTTCTGGGTTTTAAAAAAGCTGTTGGGGTCGAATGTGGTGGCTCACGCCTGTAATC